CTATGACTTCAAAGCTTTCATCACGTGTTTAAATCACTAGCCTATGACTTCAAAGCTTTCATCACGTGTTTAAATCACTAGCCTATGACTTCAAAGCTTTCATCACGTGTTTAAATCACTAGCCTATGACTCCAAAGCTTTCATCACGTGTTTAAATCACTAGCCTATGACTTCAAAGCTTTAATCACGTGTTTAAATCACTAGCCTATGACTTCAAAGCTTTCATCACATTTAAATCACTAGCCTATGACTTCAAAGCTTTCATCATGTATTTAAATCACTAGCCTACGACTTCAAAGCTTTTATCGTGTGTTTAAATCACTAGCCTCTGACTTCAAAGCTTTCATCACATATTTAAATCACTAGCTTCTGACTTCAAAGCTTTAATCATGTTTAAATCACTAGCCTATGACTTCAAAGCTTTAATCATGTTTAAATCACTAGCCTCTGACTTCAAAGCTTTAATCATGTTTAAATCACTAGCCTCTGACTTCAAAGCTTTAATCATGTTTAAATCACTAGCCTCTGACTTCTTGGAGCCGAGATATGGACAATTACATCACACCATGACAACCAAAGTTAAGGAATGTTGACTGACTGAAATTTAATAAAACCACACTTGTATTCGAGTCACATGGTCAAATTAGCACTATTTTGTTCAAAAGTGTTATGGAAAAATTCTAAAAACACTAATGATTTTATTCACAGTGCATTGAAATGAATCCAAATTTACAATTTTGTTTTTTTACTTTTATACATAATAGATAACTTTTGATAATGGAACAAATTTCAACTCTAAAGTTTGTTTTTAATTCAAGGATCAATTTTTTTTTTTATTATATTTAAATAGTTTTTGCGAAATTAAATTTAATATAGAAGTAATTTTCCCAGTTGAAACTCTTGCGGTACTAGTCCGTTATCAATTTTAAGGACTAATATTCACTTCCTATCAGAGCAAGATGCCGGTTCAGAGTTAACTAAAGTTCAACCTGGTTATATGTACAGTAGAAATGAAGTATGGTGTACTTAGCTTATCAAAAAAACTAATGATAAGGTGCTTATATAAGAAAATCGCATCAGTGGGGGCTTGAAAAGACTAGTTAAATGGTAGTAAGTTAACAAAATGGTTTTGAAAGATTCAATATTTTTTTCTACAATAAACATCACTGTAGTTACAAATCCTTGTTTTAACAACACAAGATGAGCAATACTGTTTAAAGCACATTAACTTCATCCATCCTAAAATAAAGTTCACAACTGAAGAGGGAAAATAAGCAACAGATTTTCTACATTTAAATATCACACAGCTTCACAACACATTTAATGTAAAAATTCATAGAACATACATCATCTGGAAAATAGCATACAACACAATTTAAAGTACATTAAACCCTTCCGTATTTTGCCCAAAATAACTCAAACACTCTCCGTGTTTTAAAAATATTTGCCCAAATTTATTTGCATATTATCATGCATTGCAATCAGTGCTCAC